TTTCTAATCCCAAGGATTCTAGTTTGAAAGAGACAGAGTGACGATATGGCCAATCCTTCTAGATTTGCTCCTGGTGGTATGGAAAGTGGAGTATTAAGCAAGCTCTTTAAGGTTATGATAATGATGGGAAGTCCAGTACCTATAACTTTGTGTGTGCTAAGCTTTTTTCCAAAGAACCCTGTGACGCAATTACTCATTGTACATAGGAAGAAATTGAGTGTCAGAGAGAATGTTACCCGCCCAGGGCCACCCAGCATATTAGTGGATGAGCCGTCATTGAACCCACGTTTCCCTGATTCCAAATGCCACTGGCGTAAGCACTGTACAATTCCGCTGCTCATAGCAGATAGCAGTTACTGAGCTACTATATGGTATGCAGGTCTGGTGGCATAGTGCCTAAGGCATTTGCTAACCAGAAGGTTGGCGGTTCAAACCCAGCAGTCACTCCGTGGAAAGACTATGGAGCAATCTACTTCCGTAAAGCTTTACCATCTTGGAAAGCCAATAGGGGTCGCTATGAGTTGGAATAAAGTTTATAGCAGTGGGTTTATGTGCAGGGTACTGGGGGAAGGTTGAAGCATATGGTGATAAGTGAAACAGACCGATCCTTTCCCTGGGAATCCGTCTACCCACCTGCATCCTTCCCTGTGACCAGAGAGGGCACTAGTGAACCTGGGCCATGGAGTAAGAAGGAGGATCTCTCCCAGAAGTGGGCGGGATCATCCCGGTCGGGCTGCCCTGTTTGGTCGCCACATCTCGGGGCGGGTCCTGCATGAAGGCGGGTAAGGCGGCTGGCTGCCCGAGCTCCTCCCCCTGCGGCGTTGAGTGCGGTCTGAGGCGGTGGTTGTAGACGCTCATGATTGCGGTCGGGACGTTGCTGGCGGCAGCTGCTCCTCAGGCACCGGAGTCCTGGTAAGCAGCATCCGGCCCCGTGTTTGTGTGCAGGGGGCAGTCATGTTCCTTAGGAGTGAACAGACGCATCTCCTGGATTCTCCTGTCTTACCCACTGACTGAACTAAAAAGTGTTGGCGCCCCCGTGGTCCCAGAGGCGCGGGATGTGGGGGGTCTGCTGTAGACCCGGATGGGACCCTAGGCCTCAGCCCCAGATGGGTCAAGAGAGTATTGGAGGACTCCTGGAGCCCCAGGGAGGTGTTTCCCCTTCTTTTGAAGTGGAGGACTGAGAAAGTTAGAATAGTGCAACTCTTACCTGTTTCTGACCTTGTGGCACTCAGTACCAGGCAGTTGGATAATGAGTTGCTGTGAATAGTAGGTCTAGGTACTAGGAGCTCTGGTGGCTTAGTGCCTAAGGTATTTGACTGTTAACCTGAAGGCTGGTGGTTCAACCCCACCAGCCACTCCTGGAGGGAAGCCTGGGTAATTTACTTCTGTAGAGAGACCACCTCAGCCTCAGGAAGCCAAGGGGGGAGGGGTTCCTGTTCCTTTTTGGTAGAAGGAGATTGAAAAGTTCCTGGTAACAAGGATAATTGGTTGTGTCTCAAATTCCCCCCCCCATGTATAGTTGGTCTTGTGGAAACACTCTGGTGAGCAGGCGCAGTTCTCAGCAGAGTGCCGGTGTCCTGGGAAGATGTTTAAAAACTGAAAACCAACTTTAGAAAGGAAAACTCCAAAAATAAAAAAAAAATAAATAACTCCCCCAAAAAACCCCTAACTGGTTTCATGCTTTCTTCAGGTTTACTTTTACCAGGGATCTGGACTTCTCCAGTTTTTATTTATAAAAGGAAGTGTTAGAATAAATTATCTTTAAGTTCTCAAAGTCCAAATCCAAACCCATTGCCATCGAGTGGGTTCTGACTCACAGCAACTCCCATCCAGTTTCCAAGGGAAGTAGATTGCCTCACCTTCCTCCCGTGCAACCTCTAGTGGGTGCAAACCAACCTTTTGCTTAGCAGCCCCATGCCTTACCCATAGTGCCACCAGGGCTCCTTTTTGGTTTGATTTACATTCTCAGGGAGTTCTGAAAGGCTGATTTTCCTTC